AGCAAGAGAGATGGGATTCCACCACAGAGTCACTGCCAGTTTGAACAAAAGGGGACAGAGAAGGGTGAAATAAAGGGAGGCCTTCAGACATCCGGTATTTTATAGCAAGGCAAAATAGAGCTATTGGGGTACAAACATGCTTTGTTCTTGAAGGAAAGGGGACGATGACTCTGAAGGTGAACCAGGGATCATCAAGTCTGCCCTTCCCACCACAGGCCCAGAACAGACAGGCCCTGGGGACAAAGCTGTTTCTTCCTTGGTTTCAGAGAAGGGGGCCACTTTCTCACCTTGATTTCAGTGACACTGGCTGCCCAGTGGGGCTGCTGTGCAGGGCTCCCCAGTGGGCCTGGAATCAGAACATCTGGGCCTGGAAGGCAAAGCATCTGGATAAAGAGGATTGTTTCTGAGCATCAAGATCTGATGAAACTTACTTACCTAGGTTTTGGTCTTATCTGGAGACATCCGCCCTTTCTTTCAATGTCTTCTTTTTGAAATGAGAATATCTGACTTTATACCTTTGAAGACATCTGAGTGTACTCATTTGGTTTCCATCTTACATTTACAATCCACAGAGTGTATCTGTGTTTTGGAAGCACGTAGCTTGTCTAGTTTCACCACAGGTACACAGCTGGACTTGAGTCTTTGACCATATTTGACTTACATGACATTTAGTGAGACTTTGGACTTAGAATTAGTGCTGGAATTGGTTTTGACTCCAAGACTGTTGGGGTAGGGTGAAGAATATATTTAGCATTTGATATAATTTCTTTGGGAGCCAGAGAGCCCAGTGTTATGAGCTGAAATGTGTTTCCCTCAGGTTGATATGTTGAAGTCCTAACCCCCACTGTGGTGGCATTTAGAGAGAGGGCAAATAAAGACATAATAAAAGCTAGATAAAAGTTTAAGGGTGGGCCCTTAATCCAAAAGGAAGGCTGTGCTCATAAGAAGTGGAAAGGATACCTGAGATCCCTCTGAACATTTAGGAAAGGCCTTTTGAATCCACAGAGAGAGGGCTGCAGGCCTGGAAGAGAGGCCTTCCCAGAAACCAACCCCAACAGCACCTTAATCTTGGACTTCAAGCTTGCAGAAACCACAAGAAAATAAGTTTCTGCTATCCAAGCCACCCAGTCTCTAGTATTTTGTTATAGCAACCCTAGCAGACAGGCACATTCTGCCAATTGCCTCATCCTTTAGTTACTGCTGCCCTCTGTTCTGGAAACTGACGAACCCCTCTTCTGCTCTTTGTCAACTACATTGCATATATTCATTTTTTTGTGTCTCAAATTCTCCACAGATCTTTTTGATTTCTCCCAAACATTAGTTAATGGTTATGTATATATTGTTTTTGCCCTTATGATTCATTCTTTAGTCATATATCATCAGTATTGTGTACTTAAATTTTTTTCAACTGACAAATAGTAAAATTGATTCTATGTATCAAATTTAAGAAATGATGGGCTCCAGGGGCTGGGGATGTGGCTCAAGCGGTAGCGCACTCGCCTGGCATGCGTGCTGCCCGGGTTCGATCCTCAGCACCACATAAAAAGAAAGATGTTGTGTCCGCTGAAAACTAAAAAATAAATATTAAAAAATTCTCTCTCTCTCTCTCTATCTCTCCTCTCTCACTCTCTCTTTAAAAAAAAAAAAAGAAATGATGGGCTCCAAATACAGTGCAATTAAACGACGAAGAACTCAAGAGCTCAAACCAACCACAACTTTGGATATTTATGTGATATTCTTAAAAGTTCTCCATTCCCCTTGTCTCTTACGTGTAAGGCATACAAAACCAAAATTAACTTAGACAAATTAGATGAAATGCTAGAGTTAATCACTGAAATTAGAGTAAATGAAATTAAATGTCATTATTCTGAAGTGTAAAGGAAATAAAGTGTCAGTCAATAAGGTTTCAAGACAGGTTTGGCTTTTAAAATGAATAGATACGAATTACTTATAATGAAAATTTTAGACATTTGTGTAGAAACAAAATAATCAAAGACAGTTCATCAAAGGTAGGATACTAATTATCTAACTCTTATAGAGTTTACAGCTTAGCAGCTGTTATCAGTTTGCAAGTTCAGGCAGGGAAAAGCAGCACAGAGTGGGAGATTTAAACAACAGAAATTTATTTTTCTCCTGTTTCCACGATTAAGATGTTGGCCAGGCTTGTTTCTTCTGGAGGCTTCTGTACATGTAGATAGCCGTGTGCCATGACATGATCTTGTGTGTGTGTGCATCTGTGTCCTAATCTCTTCTTCTTATTAGAACACTGGTTACACTGGCTTAGAGCCCACTGGTATGACTTAACATTACCATAATCACCTCTTTAAAGGCCTCAACTCCATTGTATTTTGAGGYAGTGGGGGTGAGAACTTCAGCATATAGAGTTAGGGGGTAAAGAGGAGGGACACAATTCAGTCCATAACAGTAGACATCTCTCTATCATGTCCCCAGCATGAAGCACAGCTGCACTCTAGCTAGGTCTAGTGAGTGCAAGTGCTGTCTCCATCACACTACTTCAAATTTACATTGTTAATTGGTTAAAATTTCTCTTTGCTTTGCTAGACATTTGGAAGGGTAAACTATGGTTACATAAAGATCACAAATTTCAAAGGATTTTTTTTATATCTTTGGAAACACCTGAGTGTACTCATTTGGTTTCCATCTTACATTTACAATCCACAGAGTGAATATGATGCTTAGGAATCAACGCCAACTCTTATCACTAGGATCTTGCTTAGATCAATACTTCCTGAAAAGGCAATGCAGCTCAGTTCTTAATTTACCGTTGAGCAGAACTTTAAGCACAAGGGAAAAGAGAATCAAAGATTTTATCCTCAGATCAGCTCTGACATGGAGTCAGTGAGGCACGTTGGTGAATTTCAATAAGACAACTACTAAATGAGATGGGATGTTTCACAATGGATAGTGTGTGTGTGCAATATATACATGAATGCACAGCCTCATATACATATCTATTACATATTTATTTTTGTGTGCATGTGTATATCCTCCAGATACCATCTCAACCCTAAATTTATGTTTAATAATTTATTTGCTCCATTAGGCAATTTGATGTAGAGAAACTTATTCTACAMACACAACTTTCACATACAAACAACATTCTCTCAGTATTTTAAGACTTTCCTATTTGAAGCACTATAAATCTGGAAATTAGAAAATTAGAAATATTATATAAATTATATATAAATTAGAAATATTATGAAAACTTACAATTGCTCCAATAAGATTGAAACCATCCATAAAGTCTTTCTCTACCACTTGGAATTTGTAAGGCCTTGTAATCTCACGTAAACATCCACTTGAACATAGCCATTTCCCATTATTTTTGCAGATGATGTCAGTGGGGAAAGCAAATATTTAGGGTAATACTGTATATGGTGTTAATGTAGGATCTGAAGAGTGTGTGACCATACAGTTACCTTTTAAACAGGTAATTCCATGGTTACACACACCCTGCTAAAGGTGACACAGCACGATGTGGCCAACAAGAACGACTGTAGCCCTTGCCTCATTTTCCTTCCTGTGATATACAAGCATGAATAGGAGGTAACATGTGGAATTCTCAGTAAAAATCTTTTAGTTTATCTCTATTATCTGCTCTTGAGTTTTCAACAAACACAGTTCCATGGAGTGTACCTATTTCCTCACTAAAAACAAATAAAGGGACATCCCAACATCTCATCTTGTTCAGGTAATCTAGACAAGAATGATATGATCTAAAAGACCCTTGTAAGTACTCAGTTAACTTATCCTGACCTCTAATCATGAGTCTCATCACCAAACACAACATTCTCTCAGTATTGCAAGACTTTCCTACTTACAGCACTATTAACATGGAGGTAGAGTTACTAGAAATGTCATGAAAAATTAAAATGGATTCTCCAATAAGATCAAAACCATCCACAAAGTCTTTCTCTACCACTTGGAATTTGTAAGGCCTTGTAATCTCATGTAAACATCAACTTGAACATAGCCATTTCCCATTCTTTATATTACCGAAAAGGGGTTATTTTCCTTAGCAAAATTAACATAAAATTTCTCAAATTAACTGACTCTTAACCTACCAGCAGATTAACAGTGGCTACTCTGAATGATGATTCCTTTTTGATAAGTAGAATCCAAGGCTTTTTATATGAAGTAAAATTGTGTTCAGAATCTGCTTACAAATCTTGAGACTGTTGAAGTGTTGATCCATTATACACACACACACACACACACACACACACACACACACATGCTTCCATGTCAGGAGATTTGTGGAGTTCCAGAAGCCATTTCATTGGCCTTTACAATTTAGATCAGTTGCTTCTTCCACCAACAACCTGTGCTGACACCTTCTATTCTCTTCCTGGCTCATTAAGGTGCCTGCTCTGGCTATCCATCAAGACTTATTCTTGTCCTTATTGTTTACTACAACATATTATAATTATCTGTTTAACTCTCTTCCTTTTACATTAGGTAAAAATTTCTTGAAGATAGAGGCTTTGTCTTATTATTTTTTATATCCTCAGATCTTAAGAAGGGGCTTATAGAAAATAGGTATTCAATAAGCAGGTCATTGTCAAATGAATGGAAAAAATAAATAAATTAAAGAATAGATGTTTAGTAGATAATCACTGATTTTCTTTATGACTTATTGGGCTACTAATTTGGGATAAACAGGAGTTTCTTGGGTATTGGCAGGATTTAAGGGGAAATGTACACCAAATGAAATGAAATATGCAAAAAATTTAGTAGAGTGCTTGGGACATTGTGCTGTTCTATGTGAATTCTATTTTTCTTTATATTAAATTATATAGTTAAATGTAAAAAAAATTATTTCAATAGTATAAAGTTTGTTTTATACAACGTAAAGATATTATTTATATATTATAAAGCATAAATATATAATTTACATTGTAAATATATAAGTAGTAATATAAATTTATTTATGTCAAATCACATCTCAAGATACAACCCAACCCGTCTCCGCYGCCTCCCTGAGTCACTGCCTGCGCAGCTCCGATCGCCTGGCTCCCCGTACTAGCTGCCGGTATTTGAAGTTCCTACAACATGGCAGACATTGACAACAAAGAACAGTCTGAACTTGATCAAGATTTGGATGATGTTGAAGAAGTAGAAGAAGAAGAAACTGGTGAAGAAACAAAAATCAAAGCGCGTCAGCTGACTGTTCAGATGATGCAAAATCCTCAGATTCTTGCAGCTCTTCAAGAAAGACTTGATGGTCTGGTAGAAACACCAACAGGATACATTGAAAGCTTGCCTAGGGTAGTTAAAAGAYGAGTGAATGCTCTCAAAAACCTTCAAGTTAAATGTGCACAGAKAGAAGCCAAATTCTATGAGGAAGTTCATGATCTTGAAAGGAAGTATGCTGTTCTGTATCAGCCTCTATTTGATAAGCGATTTGAGATCATTAATGCAATTTATGAACCTACAGAAGAAGAATGTGAATGGAAACCAGATGAAGAAGAGGAAATTTCGGAGGAGCTGAAAGAAAAGACCAAGATAGAAGATGAGAAAAAAGATGAAGAAAAAGAAGACCCTAAAGGAATTCCTGAATTTTGGTTGACTGTTTTTAAGAATGTTGACTTGCTCAGTGACATGGTTCAGGAACATGACGAACCTATTCTGAAGCACTTGAAAGATATTAAAGTGAAGTTCTCAGATGCTGGCCAGCCTATGAGTTTTATCTTATATTTCACTTTGAACCCAATGAATATTTCACAAATGAAGTGTTGACAAAGACATACAGGATGAGGTCAGAACCAGACGATTCTGATCCCTTTTCTTTTGATGGACCCGAAATTATGGGTTGTACAGGGTGCCAGATAGATTGTAAAAAAGGAAAGAATGTCACTTTGAAAACTATTAAGAAGAAGCAGAAACACAAGGGACGAGGGACTGTTCTTACCGTGACTAAAACAGTTTCCAATGATTCTTTCTTTAATTTTTTTGCCCCTCCTGAAGTTCCTGACAGTGGAGATCTGGATGATGMTGCTGAAGCTATTCTTGCTGYAGACTTTGAAATTGGTCACTTTTTACGTGAGCGYATAATCCCRAGATCAGTGTTATACTTCACTGGAGAAGCTATTGAAGATGATGATGATGATTATGATGAAGAAGGTGAAGAAGTGGATGAGGAAGGGGAAGACGAAGGAGATGAGGAAAATAATCCAGACTATGACTCAAAAAGGATCAAAACCCAGCAGAGTGCAAGCAACAGTGAAGCAGGATGTATGTGGCCTTGAGGATAACCTGCACTGATCTACCTTCTGCTTTCCTGGAAAGGATGAATTTACATCATTTGATGAGCCTATTTCAAGTTTTTTGTTGTTTGTTTGCTTGTTTTTGTTTTTGCAGCCTAAAATAAAAATGTCAAATATATAAAAAAAAAGATACAACCCAAAAGGTAGGAAACACAATTTACTGAAGTTTCTTTTTTTTAATTTTAAAATTTTTAGTTTTAATTTTTAGTGTTGAACTCGTAGACATGCTTCACCACTGAGCCACACCCCCAACCCTTTTTACTTTTAGACAGTCTTGCTAAGTCACTGAGGCTGCYCTGGAGTCGCTGGGATCACAGGCATGTGCCTGAAGTTTCTATTGGAATTTGTTCAGTAGACACTACTTATTGGTCATCATATCTGTATGCCAACCATGCAGCTAAGTACTAGAGGTGCTGAGAAGGCTAGGCCTGGTTCACTCCCTGCCTCAGGGAACTAAGAATCCAGTGAGCTTCAGAAGCCCCACATCCTCCATTATCGCATCCTCATGCATTCCTCACCCAGGAGTGTCCAGTTAAACTTTCCTAGGACCCAGTTAACTGTGACTCAAGTCTTAATTTTTTCTTTTTAAGCCCAGAAGGAAACCAGTATTTTTATTAAGTAATGGATGTGAGGGATATAGATTTACTCTGTAATTTTAGGTCTTATTTTAAAATGAATGAATCCTGAGATGGTTCTACACAGCATCATTTAGAGGCAGAATTTTCTATCTCAGTGTTATAGGAGCTTGCAGTCAAACAAAAGGAAAAAATTGAATTTTTTTTCATTSACTTTTTGCTTCTACTCAAAGGTTATGTGCGAGAGGGCTGCCCTCCTGCATTCCCATGGGGCTGGGGATTTAGAACTAGATGTGGCAAGAAGAATGTGGACAAAAGGGCTTCAAAGATCAATTCTAGCTAACCCTAGAACACCTACCATCCCAGACATTGTTGGGATATTTGAAACATTCTCCAAAAACACACAATTGAATTTGGGAGCAAAATCTGACCTTTTGAATCTGACTTCTCACTTTTAGGCCATGGGATTTGATTCCTAGTGTAAAGAACTTCTTATTCAATCACTTATTCATGCCTTGGAAAGATGTGTCCCCCACAAAACTAAAGATGTACTTATTTTAATGTTACTATCATATGTATGTATTAATCTACTGACAGAAACAAGAAAATAATCTCAAGACATTTCAGGATATGATTAGATGGTAGTTCAATTGTTATCCTCCTCTCCTCTAGGACATTTGGCAATGTTTTGAGACATTTTTGGTGGTCACAACTGGGGCAGGTGTACTTCAGGAATTAACAGAGGCCATGAATGCTGCTAAAGACTCTATAAAACATAGGGCAGTCTCCCTCATCATCTGGGTGYAGTGGCACACAATTGCAATCTCAATGACTCCGGAAGCTGAGGCAGAAGGATCACAAATTCAAGGTCAGCCTCAGCAACTTAGTGAGACCCTCTCTCAAAAGAAAAAAAAAAAAAAGACTGGGGTAAAAATGACTGGGTTAGGTTGGTTCCACAGTTGAGCTATTGTGAATTGTGCTGCAATAAACATTGATGTGGCTGTGTCTCTCTGTTATGCTGTTTTTAAGTCCTTTGGGTATAGACAGAGGAGTGGGATAGCTGGGTCAAATGGTGGTTCCATTCCAAGTTTCCAAGGAATCTCCATACTGCTTTCCATATTAGCTACACCATTTTGCAGTCCCACCAGCAATGTAAGAGAGTGTGCCTTTTCCCCCACATTCTCGCCAAAACTTATTGTTGTTTGTATTCCTAATACATCCCACTCTGACTGGAGTGAGATAAAATCTTAGTTTTGATTTGCATTTCTCTAATTGCTAGAGATGTTAAACATTTTTTATATATATATTTGTTGATTGACTGTATATCGCCTTCTGAGAAGTGTCTGTTCAATTCCTTGGCCCATTTATTGATTGGGTTTTTTGTTATTTTGGTGTTTAGTTTTTAAAGTTCTTTATATACTCTAGAGATTAGTGCTCTATCTGATGTGCAAGTGAAAAAAATTTGCTCCTAAGCCGTAGGAGCTCTATTCACTTCACTGATTGTTTCTTTTTCTGAGAAGCTTTTTAGTTTGAATCCATTCCATTTATTAATTCTTGATTTTAATTCTTGTGCTATGTGAGTCTTATTAAGGAAGGAGGGGCCTAATCTGATATGATAGCGATTGGGGCCTATTTTTTCTTCTATTAGATGCAGGGTCTCTGGTTTAATTCCTAAGTCCTTGATCTACTTTGAATTGAGTTTTGTGTATGGTGAGAGATAGGAGTTTAATTTCATTTTGTTGCATATGGATTTCCAGTTTTCCCAGCACCATTTGTTGAAGAGGCTATCTTTTTACCAATGTATGTTTTTGGTGACTTTATCTAATATAAGATAACTGTAATGATGTGGGTTAATCTCTGTGTTCTCTATTCTGTACCATTGGTCTACCAGTCTAGTATAAGATAACTGTAATTATATGGGTTAATCTCTGTGTTCTCTACCATTGTACCATTGGTCTACCAGTTTATTTTGGTGCCAATACCATGCTGTTTTTGTTACTATTGCTCTGTAGTATATTTTAAGGTCTGGTAACGTGATGTTATCCGCCTTACTCTTGTTGCTAAGGATTGCTTTGGATATTCTGGATCTCTTATTTTTCCAGATGAATTTTATGGCTGCTTTTTCTATTTCTATGAGGAATGTCATTGGAATTTTGATTGCAATTGCATTAAATCTGTATAGTGATTTTAGTAGTATGGTCTTTTTGACAATATTAATTCTGCCAATCCAAGAACAAGGGAGATCTTTCTATGTTCTAAGGTATTCTTTAATTTCTTTCTTTAGTGTGCCCATCAGTAGATGAATTGATAGGGAAACTTTGGTATATATACACAGTGGAACATTACTCAGAATTAAAAGAGAATAAAATCACGGAATTTGCAGGTAAATGGATGGAGTTGGAGAATATAATGATAAGTGAAGTTAGCCAATCCCAAAAAAACAATGCTGAATGTTTTCTCTGATGTAAGGAGGCTGATTCATGGTGGGGTTAGAAGGGGAAGCATGTGAAGTTTAGATGAACTCTAGATTGAATAAGGAGGAGGGAAAGAAAAAGAGGGAGGGGTCAAGGGGTATAAAAAAGATGATGAAATGAGATGGATATAATTTCCCTAAGTACATGTATGAAGACATCAATGGTGTGAATATACTTTGCATACAACCAGAGATATAAAAAATTGTGCTCTATATATGTAATATAAGCTGTAATGCATTCTGCTGTCATATAGAACAAATTAGAATTAAAAAATTGAAAAACAAAAGGAGTAGGGTAAAGTTCTCTTGGTTTCAGTTCTCAGTAATGCCCCATCCCAGTAAAAAAATGAGTTGTCAGGACCAAAATATTAATAGTGTTGAGGTCAAGAAATTCTGGGCTAGGCCTTGGGTAGTAAACTAAGGAATGATAAGCTCTCCATTCTCCTTTATTATCTTGTGAATATTTTCATTTTCACCCTGTTCTCAAAAGTATACTTTAAACACAAACAAAAATTTAAATGAGATTTCTGTCCCCATAGATCTTATAGAGTTCATTTGTTGAGACTGTGTAGATATCTATAAAAATGTTAAATAATGTATAATAGAACAGTGAAAAACTAAGCAGAGCACTAATTACTAAATAAATGACATGGACAATTTTTTTTTTATGAGTTAAGCAGTGGAAGAAGTCACAAAAGACACAGGAATYTGCTCACAGATTTTGTAGGATTAGGATGCTGGTGTCTTTTGTGTATTACTGTGTTCCAAGAGTTTAGTACAGTTATTTGCATGCAACAGCCACTCAATGAACTCCATAAATATTCATCTTATGAGTTCAGAATGGATTTGGATAGAAAAGCCAAATATTTTCCAGAAGCTTGGAAGGAATAGCAAAAGGAAAGGTATGGGGGAAGGATCAGGACTGACGTATTCCAAGTCCTATATTGCTGGGGGACAATGCTAAGATAGGAGAGAAGGGGCAGGGTTCAGGGAACAGAAAGGCAGTGCTAGATCAGGTAATTTTTATTTGCTTTATAGATGCTGGGAGCACAGATTGGGATTCTCTTTGTTCCAGAATCATTTCAATCTGTTTCCTTCTTTGCTTGTTTGAGTCTGGGTGTGTCTTTCATTGCCCTTTGCTGAGGACAGATGACAGGCATATGTGTGAGTATGATTCTGTGTGGGCTTGAGGAAGTGGGGTGCTGCATGAACTGAATTCTCCTCTTTATCTCAACATCTTCCTGATCTCTTGCCTGAGCCACAACCTTCTCCATCCAGCTTGAACTCAGCTCTCTGCTACTGTGTGTGGCAATAATTCATGACTCATGGATGGAAGGAGAGCTTCTCACCATGTGCGTGGTCATTTCCTGCTGTGACTACAGTGAGGTCTGGGCCTGATATCCCCAGTGTTCCTGGCAGACCTAAGGAAATGACCATATGATGTGCTGCCGTTGGGAAAGGCCACTAGTTATCATTGTAACTGAGTTGCCACTCAGCTGAAAGGGCCACTGGCCTCCTTGTAGAAAGTGGAAAAGACAAATAATAGGAAAGGGGTTTTCTGAGTAGCATGCTGTCCTGCTTGCTCTTCCTTCTTTAYCTGGTTTGGAATCATTCATGGGTAATGTAAATGGGAAGAACAACCCCATAGGATCTTGGGCCTTAGGTACCTTTCTGGACTCCCAGGGAATGTTTAATAAGGGAATAAAAAAGATGAAGAAAGGAGTGTGGGCTTGCTTAGAATGGAGGCTCTTTCCAGAGCTGGAGAGCTCCAGGGGTTTTTCTTTAGATCTTATCCTTTTTGCCCTTCAATAGCCATGTCCCTGTGATACAGAAAGTTGAGATAAGTCCACAGGGTGCCCAGGACAGGTAGACACAAGATGCTGAGAACGCCACTAGGGATAAAGCCTGATTCTGAATAGCTTCACTCCCTAAATGGTTTACCGGTACCATGACTTTGATGGCTTGCTTCCATTAACACCAATATTAATTATGGCGACACCCACAAGTGTTCCTATAGTATTCAATGTGTAATACTAG